TTTACCATTACACTAAAATTTCACTATAAACGTTGTAGCTTAAGTGTTTGATTGCTGTAAAAATTCGTTGTGGTTGTTGTAACCAAAGTTTGCCATAAATAAAACTTCGCCGTGATCAAAGTTTATTCAAATCTTTGCCGTGGCTAGATGGTTGGAACTTTGCTGTGGTCGCTGTAATCAAGAGTTTTGTCGTGACTAAGGTCTTGCCATAAATAAGGTTCCGTCGTGATTTCGCTGTGACCAAGGTCTTGAAATAAATAAGATCTTGCTGTGATTAAAATATTAAAATTCTGCCTTGATCAAGTTTTGTTTAAAGCTTCGTTATAGTTCATAACCATCGTGGTTGGAAAACATTTTACTTAACTACTGCCTGTATCAATCATATCAAACAAAAAAAAAAAACCCCCCAAAAAAACATTTATGGAAAAGAATTGTGGTCCTTGCTCAGTAATTAATTGTACATCTAGCAATGTTAGATTTCGTACAATTACAGAGCTTGCATATAGAAAATGTCGTGAGAAGGGAACATTGGAAACGTATTCCTACCTTGAAATCGGGCAGCAACTTTGTCACCAACATTACTGTAAAATCATAGAGTCCGATAGAGGCCAAAAAAAAAAAAATAAACTAAAACTTAAAAAAATACAAACTCAAAAAGAAAACCGTCCAATGTCAGTTCAGCAACAGTTGCCACAAATCCAAGAGCAGAACTCTCAAATACAAAGCCGGCAACAGACCCTTGAAGGCCAGCAACAAGATCTTCAAATATTATTTTCTAAAGCATTGGAACCAATAATTCCTCAACCAAATCATGGTAATGTATTTTATATTTTATTGATCCTTTTTATTTTATTTTATTTTTATTAAATATACTGTATTTATTTCTTTTAATGTAGATTCTACATTTGCCTCAAAAATACAAGCTTTAACAAAAGTATTGTATCACCAGCAACGTCGAGAAGGTGCCAGTTTGCAATTGGATCCTATAAAGTTTAATCATATGATTGAAAATGCAGACCCTCAACTTAAGGGATTTTTTAATTATATGGTTGACACATTAATTCCAAAGGAGCGCTCAGCTTATAGTATCAATGAAGCTAAAAAGTCAATAGTTGGATTATGCTATACACTGGCTGGTTTACGAAATAAATTTGTCAACCAGCATAAAATAGAAGTTGGATTATACTTAATGGCGTCGGGAGCGACATGGGAGGCGATTGATACAATGTCGAGCTTAGGATATTCTGCATGTGCTAAAACAGTGGAAGAATTTCGAAATAATATTAAAAAAAAACATGCGGCAAAAATTGAGAAATATTTTTTGGATAATGTAAATGTTATATATTTTAATAAAATAATGTGTTAATATATATTATATATATATTAATATTAATATTTTTTTTTTAGAAAAATATTTTTCACGTCTATAATATTGACGATTACCATTCTATTCACGAAATTCGAAGACCAGACACTGTATCAATATCAGCCGCAAATCACTTTGCCACCTGTGTCGCAAAACCTGTTAATTGTTATTCTTTACCAGTTAGATTCAATGATGTGTCGATACATAACCCGTTAAATCTTGATGCTTCAAAAATTTGCTGGTATTTAATAAATAAATATACTGAAACA